ACTCTCCCTTTGAAAATCATTTAGGAGTATTTACTGAAGCCAAATATAGATCTATACATGATTCAGCAATTCCATTCCTAGGTATATACCCAAGAGGGATAGCGGTTTTGTCTACAAAACACCTGTACAAGAATGTTCAGAGCAACATTACTCACAAATGCCTCAAACTAGAAACAATCTAAATGTCCATGAACAGGAGAAAGATACATGGTGATATCTACAATAGGAGAAAGATGCACTGTAGTAGTAGACAGTACCACACAGCAGTGAACCAGAGTGAACTGTTACCTCCAACGACGTGAAGAATCGTACAGGTGAAATACTGAGTGAAGGAAGTTAGATACAAGTGTAAATACCACATATAAAGTTGAAAAAACGGTATAACTAAGCCACAGGGATAGAGATCAGAATAGTGGTTACTTGGTGGTGGTGGAGGTAGTGGGGATGGAAGGCTATTCACTGGCAGGAAGCCTGCTGGGAGACTGGACATTTGCTATCATATATATATGTGTATATATATATATATATATATATTTAATTTATTTATTGAAGTATAGTCAGTTTACAATGTTTTGTCAATTTCTGCTGTACAGCATAATGCTTCTGTCATAACTGAACATACATATATCCATTTTCATATTCTTTTTTCACCATAAGTTACTATACAATATTGAATATAGTTCCCTGTGCTATACAGTATGAACCTGTTTATCTATTTTATGTATATTAGTTAGTATCTGCTGCTGCCTCCTGATTTAAGTGATAACTACATGGGTGTGTACATAGGTAAAAATTCATTTGGCTCAATTAGGAGGGCTACAGAGATGGGGACAAGCACAAAGGCCTTAATATTTGCACACTTCACTGTATAAGTTGTACTTTAATAATCATTTAGAAAGGAGTTGGTACTCTATCTTAAAAAATAGTGAAGTATACCATGTGTCCTTAAAGTTAAAAAAAACACAACACCCTGACACAGGAACTATATATTCACTCTCTTGTAATGACCTATAACGGAAAAGAGTCTGAAAAACTTCAGAATAGATACATGTATACGCATAACTGAATCATTTTGCCATACACCTGAAACTAAGACAATGCTGTAAATCAATAATGCTTCAATAAAAGTTGTTTATTTTGAAAACAAACAGATAAAAACCAGGCACTTCTTAAAATGTGGACTGTTCATACCCATAGAATTCCTTAGATCCACAAAAAAAACCATTTTAATTCCTATAAAAAAATTTTGGAGTCCTTTATATTTAAAAAGAATTGAAGTTAATCAGAATGTGAGTCAGATCCTTTATTCAGAATGCATCTGGGTGTGGCCCAAAGTCAGTTTAGCTGATGTGGCCGGCGGACTCTAAGACACCCCCAGTGCTCTCCGCCCGCCGGTGTCCATGACTTTGTGCAACCCCTCCCCTTTGAATGTGGTTTGCTTCTACCCAATGGAGTGCAGCAAAGCTTAGCCTACAGAGGACTATGAGTGAGATCACGCTAGCCACCTCTACTGCCTCCGGCCTTACGTGCTTTAACTACGCAAGCCGCTCTGTTGGAGAGGCCCACGTGGCCAGAAACTGGGAGGGGCCTCCACATACAGCCAGCAAGACACTGATGCCTTCAATCCAACAGCTTTGAAGAACTGAGTCCTGCCAACCAAGCTGAGTGTGGAAGTGGATCCTTCCCAGCTGAGCCTTGAGATGAGACCATCTGACACCATGAACGTAGCCTTGTTGACAGACCCTGAAGCAGAGGACCTGGCTGAGCCAGGTCCAAATGCCTGACCTGCAGAAACTATTTGATAATAAATGTGTGTTATTCTAAGTAGCTTAAATTTTGTGGCAAATTGTTATCACAGAGATAACTAGTTACTGTGATATTAAAAAAATTTTTTTTTGTTGTCTTAATGGTGGTACTGGGGATGGAAGCTAGGACCTCATGGGGGCTAGGCATGCACCCTACCACTGAGCTATACTTGCCCTCCCTGATATTAAAAGATGTTAGTTAATATGATTGAACAGGCATCCTTACCTTCCAGGAGTTAACAATCTGAGATGATCACTATTATGGACTGAATGTTTGTATGCCCCACAATTCATATGTTGAAGCCCTAATTGTATATTTGGAAATGGGACCTCTAAGGAATTAAGGTTAAATGAGGTCATAAGGGTAAGGATGAGGCCCTGATCCAGTTGGGTTAGTATCCTTATAGGAAGAGACATCAGAGAACACGCTCTCTCTCTCTCTCTTACTCTCCCTCTCTGCCACGCGAGGACAGTGAGAAGGCTGCCATCTACAAGCCAGGAAGAGGGTTCTCACCAGAAACTAGTCCAGCTGATACCTTGATCTTGGACTTGCCAACCTCCAGAACTGTGAGGAGTACACTTCTGTTATTTAAGCCACCCATTCTGTGGTATTTTGATAGGGCAGTTCATCCTAAGGTAATTACCAACTGTGTTTTTTTTGTTTTTGTTTTTTTTAGCCAGAATACTTGCAGAATTATAAATATTTGAACAGGAATACGGAGCTAATCTATGATGTCCTGAAGGAATCAGAAACAACTTAATTTTTTAAGTGCCAATATGTGCCAAGCACTGTTTTATTCTCTGGACTTAGTTTAAACAGTGTCCCTAACCTTCATGGAGCTTAGATTTTAGTGGGGATCACAGAATAAATAATAAAAGAGAATTGACAAGGAAGTTCTGGTTATGTGATAAGGACTATAGTGCAAATAAACACAATTTTGATAAGGTGGTCTGGGAAGGCATCCCTGAGGCAGTGGCATTTGAGCTTTGACAAACTGAGCACCCAGGCATCAGAAGATCTAGACAGCTCTGCAAAAGAGGACAACAGCATGGGGGCTCTGAGGTGGAGAGGACCTCAGCATGTTTAAGGAAAAGAAGTGAGGACAGTAGAATTGAAGCATAGCCAGGAAAGGGGAAGAGTCCGAGATGCATTTGGAGAGAAAATCAAGAGCCACGTCATGCAGGACCTTGTAAACCATTGCCAAGTTTGATTTTATGCTAAGAGCAATACTGAATCATTAAACTCAGTTGCAACGTAAGGGAGTGATAAGATCTAGAGAATGTTGCAAGTCCAGCTGCTGTCTATGGAGACTTGGTGGGAGAAAAGCAGGAGTGGAAGCAGGAGAAGAGTACTGAGGCTACTGCAAAGGTCCAAGCTCGAGTAGACAGTGGCTAAGGTTAGGGTGGTGGCAGAGGAGAAGGGGATGGGTTTCAGATGGATTTTGGAGGGGGAATCAGTAGGATCTGATGATGGACTGGATATGGGTAGCGAGAGAAAGGAACGAATCAAAGATACCAGCATGTGCTGGCTTGAGCCTGGGGCATGACTGAGAGGCAGAGACTAGAGGAGGCACAGGTCTGGGGCCAGTTCTAATCAACATGAGATTATGGTTCTTTCTTTCACGCAAATGATAGAAAGCACGTCCTTCAAAACATCTAAAAGGGGAATGAGAAGTTACTGAAAAGACAGCTCAAAAGTAAACCATTGCCAAGTATTTAAAAAGTATGCACCATTAGTAGCCAAATGAGTCATTGTAATTTATTATTGGGATAAAAATCTCTGTATCATACAGGATCTTCAATTATCAATGACACTGAAACACAGATTGCTTCTTCTTTGCTTGCGCTTAAAGCAGTCAGCTGACCTGACTGACCGGTTGCTACTCACAGCTCCAGGCCCGTTGTTAAAATAAAGCTACTAACTTTACTGTTTCTGCTTTATTCCAGTAATCGAAAGTAACAGTCATACTTGGTTTCTGAGTTGTTCTCCAGGGAGAAGGTCACAGAACTGTAACCTTACAAAACAGGTTAAATACCAAGAAGACCATGCCTTGGGTGCTAATGAGATAAAGAGATGGAAAAAGTGACAACCGTGAGCCTCTATGGAATTGGTCACCTGGAGGCATCATGATGCCACTCAGTCCAATGATGAGAAAATGATTCTGTTGACAGCTATCGATGCTTTATTGTTTGAGCTGTGGCCATAGAATCACCCCGCCCATCCCCAAGGTGGGCTCACAGTTTTGAAGGCACCAGCCTGCTCTGAGTCCCCTTGGCCCGGCAAAGTAGTAAAGCTGTGCAATTTGGCTCATCAGGGACGATCTTTTTTGCGGGGGGAGGCGCCAAACTTTCGGCAACATGAAGAGGTTCAAAAATATTTTCTGAAGATGGTTCTCTAGGAAGTCAGTCTCCCACCTTCTCAGTCTGCTGGTTTTCTGAATAAAATCGTTATTCCTTGTCCCCACCCCCATATATATCTTTTTTCTTTGTGTGTGTGTGTGTGTGTGTGTTTGTTTTTTTTGATTTGCCTGCCCCGTGAACCTAAAATAACCAGTTTAGGAATCTCCCACTCTTTATGACAGTCTTGTGTGGAAAGCGCAATCTGAATGATACTTAAGATGCCAGTAGGAAACATCTTGCCCCTTCCTTAGCAGCTGCTAGAAAGCAGGCCTGGGGAGGGCAAGGGCTGCAGCGATATGGCCGATCCGGCCGCATCAGCATTGCTGGAGGCAGTGGGCCGGGGCTCCTGGCACAAGCCGGGCAAGGCTAACACAGTACGGATATTGTCTTAACCAACATACTGCTAATTGGCTTTATCTCACTTTCCACTTTCCTTGGCTCAAATTATAGCCTTAATTGGGTCCTAAACACTGGGGATTTGTGACCACCTCGATTGCAACTTACTTATGAAATATAAGCTGGATTAGACTGCAGTGGCTGGGTGTAAGGAAGAAACAGGATTCCAAGACAGGATTGTTGCTTTCAGGGTTGATAATCTCCATCTTCAGCCCTGACTTCTCTCTTCAGCTCTGGAAGTATGTTTTCAGTAGCCTGACTGACATTTCTGAAGGTCCCATGGGCACTTTAAAATCAACCCACATCAAACTCTTTTCACAGTCTCATCCCCTCGTTGCTGAAAGATCGGCCCCAGTCCCTCATGAGTCAAACTGAAACTCAGAGACAGGGTCTTGGAGCTTAGAAGAAAGACACAGCTTTATTACTTAGCCGGGCAAAGGGGACTTACAGCAGGCTGGTGCTTTCAAAACTGTGAGCCCACCTTGGGGATGGGCGGGGTGATTCTATGGCCACAGCTCAAACAATAAAGCATCGATAGCTGTCAACAGAATCATTTTCTCGTCTTAAGACTCAGAGTGGTGTCATGATGCCTCCAGGTAACCAAGTCTATAGAGGCTCGCCGCTGTCACTTTTTCCATCTCTTTATCTTGTAAGAGCCCAAGGTGTGGTCTTCTTGGTATTTAACCTGTTTTGTAAGGTTACAGTTCTGTGACCTTCTCCCTGGAGAACAACTCAGAAACCAAGTATGACTGTTACTTTCGATTACTGGAATAAAGCAGAAACAGTAAAGATAGTAGCTTTATTTTAACAACAGGCCTGGAGCTATGAGTAGCAACCAGTCAGGTCAGTTGACAGTACTAAGAGCAAGCATAAGAGAAAGCAATCTGTTAGCCTAAATGTGGCCATTTTATTAAGTTTCCTTCACCATGGCCCGGTTATCCTCTTGTTTCCTGTTTCATTCCCTGGTAGCTGCTTGGTTCATTCTGTCTCCCTCCCTAGAAGCTTTGTAACCATCTTTGTCTTCTTTCTCTTCCTCACCTCTCACAACCAGGATTGACACCATTGCTTAAATCTCTCTCCAATTGGTCCATTTATTTATTTATTTATTTAGTCCTTTTATTTTTTCATTTCAAGTGTCATCATCTCTTACCTGATCATGGCAAGGGCCATCTCACCTGTTCTGCACCTTCAAAACCTCTCCCAGTTCAAATTGATTCCCTATCCTTTGAGTGACCCTTCCCAAAACATCAGTGGAATCTCATTCCTGTTTTTAAAACTTCTGGTGGCTTCCCCACTCACAAAAAGATAAAATCCAAATCTCTCAGAAAGGCTTCAGGTCTTAGCTCAAAGGTCAGCTCCCCTGAGAGGCCTAATCTCACCACCCTATGTAAAGTTGAACTGCCACGTAATTCTATCACCTGATTTATTTAATTCATGGTTCTTCTTACAATTTATAATCCCCTTACCTGGTCATGTGTTTATCTGCTCCCATCGCCTAGAATGTGAGGTCTACGTGGGACAGTGATCTAGATAGTGTTTTTCATAGTGGAAAGTAATCCCTGCTTAGCATCATGATGGTGCATGGCAGGCCCGCAGTAATAATGTGTTGAATGATTGCCCCTCACTTTGCTTTCCAGCTTCATTCCCTTCACTCCCCACAACATAGTTTGTGATCTAGTTACTTCAAAAGTCTCCCTTTCTCCAAGTAAACTTCAAATTATTTGCACTTTCCTTTTCTTCCTTTCTTCCTTCCTCTTTCTGAATTGTTCCCTCTACCTGGCATGCTCTTCTCTTGTCTACTTACTGAATCCCAGCTTTCCTATCAAGAGACTTCTAAAGTCACCTCCTACGTGAAGTCTACCTTGACTCATCTGAAAATATAGTTCCTTTTAATAGTCTTCAGCAAGTAACATGGTACCTAGCACATTCTGATGCAGGAAAAATGAGTGTGGGGCGTGAGGAGGGCTGTGTTCCAGGTCTTGGTGAGTCCTTGGGACGTGCCCCACCGGGTGTGGGTCCTTGGCTTCGCGCAGGAAACAATTCAAGAGCAAGCCACAGTTGAGTAAAGGTAGATTTGTTTAGAGAGAGACATAGGGCACAGAGGGTAGGCTACTTCAAAAGGCAAAAGAAAGGCAAGGAAAGAGCTGTGGGAGTTGGGTGCTCAGGTTAAGTTAAAAATAGGTGCACACTCCATAGACAGAATGCAGGCCATCTCAGAAGAGGAGGGAGTGAAAAAGGGCGGCCAGGTGTGGTGGTGCCAGTTTTTATGGGCTCAGTAGCTTCACATGCCTACAGGTGGGATCATTCCTACTACCCTAGGGGAGGGGCTGGGATTCCCAGGAATTGGGCCACCGCCCACTCTTTGGCCTTTTATGGTTAGCCTTGGGACTGTCATGGCGTCTGCAGGCATGTTACTTATCACATTAATACATTACAATGAGCATATAATGAAGCTCAACGTCTACTAGAAGTCAAACCTTCCACTATCTTAATCCTCAAGGCCAACTAGGAGTTGAACCTTCCACCATTTTGGTGTTAATTGTTGTCATTCCTTGAATGGCTGTGCCCTGCTCCCTTCCATTCTGTCTCAATTCCAGATACTAAATAAATAGTCCTTAGTTGTGTTACCTTGCTGCTCCAGTCTATGGAAGGCTTAAACAAAAATGATGTGGAACAACTATTGACTGAAAGCATGTAGGTTTAATGTCCATCTCTTCACTGCCTTCTGAGATGCCAGGCAGAGGACAGTCATGAGCTCAAGAAGTTCCTATTCTTTAATTTATAAACTATATCATCAGTGTCTATCTTTAGGAGCATTTTTAAAGACCATAGCCTTAATATTTTATTGATTTCACTGGATCTCAGACTTCCAAAATTTTAAGGACAGGTCTATTACTGGGCCCCCAGTTAATGCTACCTTGATGACAGGAGGGTAAGGGAATAAACAGAATTGAGAATCAAATACAAATCTGTCTCAGATCATTGCTGGTCAACAGAAATGAGGGCCACATATAATTTTTCTAGTAGCCACATTTTAAACAGTAAAAAGAAACAGGTGAAAATTTCATATTCTTTAATGTAATATATCCAAAACACTGTATAAAAAATTATCAATATTTCACATTCTTTTGTTCACATGAAGATCTCTGAAATTTGTGTGTCGTCTGTACTCACAGCATGTCAAACAGACTAGCCTCATTTCACGTTCTCAAAAGCCACACGTTACAAACGGCTACTGTACTGGACAATGCAGATTCAGATCCTGTGCTTTTCCCACTGGACCATTAGTTCTAGAACGTTAGTCCCACTAGCTGTTCGTGAAAAAAGGGAAATCCTTTGTCAAATTTTCTGAGAATTTACAAGCGCATATTAATACACATAAAGAATTCAGAACTTTAACTCTCCCGTATTTGATTTCTCCCCTCCCCTTCACTAACCTTCTGTGTTAACACTTTGGAGCGAGTTCTAAATTCGAAGAGCGAAGGAATATCAGAGTCAAGTCTGTCTCAGGCACCATTTATCAAACTTTTGCTGGGGGGAGGGGAGGTAGCGTCCAGATCCCACCTTAGGAATAAAGCGGGCTGCAAAACACAGCCTCAGGTAACCTATGGTCTTTGCTAATATCCCCAGTTACTGCCGCCAATGTTTTCACTGAACAGCTTTATCAATGAGTTTCAGTGCATACTGATGTAAAATTAGCTCGTATTCCCGAATCCGCTGCCATCACAGTCCTAGCCTGCAAATTTATTCCTTCAACAAATATTTCTGAGCGCCCGCATACATATTGGTGGATAGAACAGCTCCAAAGCTCCGCACTGGGGAGGCGAGTCTACTGGGGAAGGAAAGAGTCCTGATAACACCTGCGCCCTCTGTCCCCGGCTGTGTCCAGCACCCCTCTTGCATAAGCACATTAAACAGGCGCCACTACCCTAGGAAGAAGGCATTACTCTCACTTCGCAGAAGACTAAGAACAGGTCGAGTAACTTGTTACGAGCCACGTGGCCCCGTCCGGAGGCCCGCGCTCGGCTGACACCAGGGGCACGCGTGGGTGCCTCGGTCCCCTCCAAACGCCTCCACGGACGCGGTCCGAGGAGAAGCGCGGTCGCCGCGACCTCGGGCGGCAAGAACCGCGGGACCTCACAATGCGCCGGGAGCGGCGCGTCTCCGGGCCCTTCCTCGCGCTGTCTGCGCCAGAGCTGACCGTCGCCCGTAGCCTCCCGCACCGCTCCCACGCGTCCCCGGATACCCGCTGCAGAAGCCAGACCGGATTGGGGCGGAAATCGCCCTACTGCCAGCCGGCGCACGAACTGCCGTTCCCGTGAGGCTTCGCGGCGCCGGGCGGCTGCTGCGCAGGCGCACGCACGGCGTACGTGGCGGCGTCAGCGGTTCTAGAACGTTGCTGTGGTAGCGCTCGGGCGCCATGTTAGGACAAGGGGGAGGAGGAGAAGCGCTTAAAGCGGC